TTGTGTGTTAAAGAGTGTACAAGTGTACATGTTTGCTTGGCTGTTTTTCTGTGGCAGGTTAATAAATGACACTATTATTCCTAGCAGTAACAGTCTCTGTGTGATTTATTTCCTCTCGTATGAATCATCGGGGCCGACCGTTCACGAACCTTTGATAAAGAATTTCATAATACAGAGGTCGAAGAGGTATGAGGGTGCAAGGCCATTAACACACTTAAATGTCAGCAGAAGAATCTTAAAATCAGCTCTGACACGCACAGGAAGCCAGTGAAGAGAGGACAGAACTGGAGTAATGTGCTCAAACCTGCGAGTTCCTGTTAGTAGCCGAGCTGCAGCATTTTGGACAAGCTGGAGATGTGAGAGAGAGACCTGACTGACCCCAGCATAAAGTGAGTTACAGTAGTCCAGCCGGGTTGTAATAAATGCATGGACTAATTTTTCAAGGTCGGTTCTGGACAGGTCGGACTTGAGCTTAGCCATCTGCCTTAGCTGAAAGAAGCTTTTTTTTGAAGAACAGAATTTATCTGCTTATTAAACTTAAAGTCCGAGTCTAAAACAATCCCGAGATTGGTAACAGACTGTTTTAGATATAGCTGAAGGGAGTTCAGGTTTGCAGGATCAGTGACAGTGGCAGAGCTAGGGTTAAACACAATGACCTCAGTCTTCTGATCATTAAAACTCAAAAAGTTCGCAGCCATCCAAGTCTTGATGTCATCAAGACATTTTAACAAAGGGCAAATGGAGGAGGAACTGTTAGGTGTTAACGGCAGATAAATCTGAGAGTCATCAGCATAACAATGAAAGGAAAGACCATGTTTCCTCAGGAGAGACCCTAAGGGGAGGAGACAAGGGGTCCAAGAATGGAGCCTTGCGGAACCCCGCAGGAAAGAGGCACTGAAGTAGATAGAGTGTTAGCAAAATTAACACAGAATCTCCTGTCGCTCAGGTATGAATGGAACCATTTTAACGCTACACCAGTAATCCCAACCCAGTGTTCTAGCCGGGATAAAAGGATACTGTGGTCCACAGTATCAAATGCAGCGGTAAGGTCAAGGAGTACCAGGACTACAGACTGACTAGAGACATTTGCCAGAAGAATGTCGTTGCAGACCCTAACTAAGGCTGTTTCGGTGCTGTGTAGTTTCTTAAAGCCAGACTGAAAGATCTCAAGAATAGAATTTCCACTCAAGAACTCGTTTAATTGAGTGAAAACTATTTTCTCCAGGATCTTGGAAAGAAAGGGAAGTTTGGAGATGGGTCTGAAGTTTGAGCAGATTGAAGGGTCAAGTCCGGGGTTTTTTATTAAAGGAGTTACCACTGCATGTTTAAAAGCATCAGGAACTACACCTGTAGCCATACTGCTGTTTATAATGTCAAGAACAGAGGGTCCAATGGAGGGTAGGACTTGTTTAAAAAAACGATGCAGGGATGGGGTCAGCAGGGGAACCTGAGGGTTTCATATGACCAATGACGTCATTGAGAAATGAGAGGGAAATGGGTTCAAACAGGTTAAAGACTGATGTGGAGGGGACAAAGACAGAGGAATCAGCTGTGGTGTGAGGAGTCAGTGACCTGATGAACTCAACCTTTTTAACAAAGAAACTGGCAAAGTCGTCACATGTAACTGCAGAGACCTCCCTGTTGGCAGACTGAGGCACGGTTAAAATGGTGTTAATGGTATTGAAAAGAACGCGGGGATTGTGGCTGTTTGAGGCGATGATTTGGGAGAAATATTTGTTTTTTTTCCTGATTTAACAGTGGCCTGGTACTCTTTGTAACATTATTTTAGCATCTAAAAAAGTTAAATTTGGTCCTCTGGACATTCAAAAAAACCCAAAACAAAGCAAAACAACAAAAAATGTAGAAACGTTTCGTCTCTCGTCCGAGAGACTTCTTCAGTCTGAGGTGCTGTTTTCAGCTCAGTCTCTTAAATAGCACCTTCTCAGAGTGGATCAACCAGTTTTGCTGCTGACAACCAAAACCAGCTGATCACATGCTCAAGAAGGACCATCAGCCTAACAATGGATCATTAGCACACTGATGGCTGTTTACTATTCACAGAGGGCTGAGTGATACTAGCAATCACAGCATTGTAAGAGGGGGACAGTTGAACCCGGAGGCCTCCACCCCTGTTTAATGATGGACGATTTCTTTTCACAAAGATGGCCTCCTTTACTCCTCTCTCAAACCATCGTTCCTCTCTGTCCAGGATGTGAACATCTTCATCCCTGAAAGAGTGACCGCTGTTCAGTGTCAGGAGGGCTGCGATCAGTCTTACATCGGGGAAACAAAACAGCCACTGGCCAAAAGGATGGCCCAGCACAGAAGATCAACATCATCAGGCCAGGACTCTGCGGTCTACACTCATCTCCAGGCCAGCGGTCACTCTTTCAGGGATGAAGATGTTCACATCCTGGATAGAGAGGAACGATGGTTTGAGAGAGGAGTAAAGCCATCTTTGTGAAAAGAAACCGTCCATCATTAAACAGGGGTGGAGGCCTCCGGGTTCAACTGTCTCCCTCTTACAATGCTGTGATTGCTAGTATCACTCAGCCCTCTGTGAATAGTAAACAGCCATCAATGTGCTAATGATCCATTGTTAGGCTGATGGTCCTTCTTGAGCATGTGATCAGCTGGTTTTGGTTGTCAGCAGCAAAACTGGTTGATCCACTCTGAGAAGGTGCTATTTAAGAGACTGAGCTGAAAACAGCACCTCAGACTGAAGAAGTCTCTCGGACGAGAGACGAAACGTTTCTACATTTTTTGTTGTTTTGCTTTGTTTTGGGTTTTTTTGAATGTCCAGAGGACCAGATTTAACTTTTTTAGATTTTTATACCTGGATTATTGAGCATGCATCAGGATATTATTTTAGCATGATAAAAGAAACGTGAAGTTTGTCCTTCTTCCATTTACGTTCAGCTTTCCTGCATTGACATTTGGCTGCGCGAGTGATCTCATTCATCCAAGGGTGCGGAGTGCGCTTTGGATGCCTAATTTGTAATTGTGCAACTAGGTCAAGCACCTTAGCACAGGTCTCTTGATGTACAGTGACTAGCTCGTGGGTGTTCATGGAAGATGATTCACAGACTGAGAGAGAGTTTTTAGTAAAAGCAGATGAAAAGAGCACAGCAGTGGAAGGGTTAAATATTCGACAAGGCCTTGCAGGACGGGGAGGGGGTTTGGACTCGTTGACAAAAGAAGTGTTGAAAGAAATGGGTTTGTGGTCAGAGAAGACTGCATCCTCAATTTCTAACTCAGAAACAAATAAACCAAAGGTTAACGCTAAATCCAGTGTGTGGCCATGCTGGTGAGTGGGCCCTGCAACATTTTGTACAAAGTTCAGAGACTGGATCAGATCTAGAAAGTCCTGAGCTTTTCAGGGCAACAGACATATTGAAATCTCCCAGAATCAAAACCCGATCATATCTGAGCAGAATCCAAGTTAAAAAGTCAGAGTTCAGCCATGAAGTCCTTGTTATATTTGGGTGGCCTGTATAACAGAGCAGAAAAAACAGAATTTGAACGGCCCACCTCATAACAGCAGTTCGAAGCTCAAAAAATTAGCTGGCATCTGTACCAGTTTGCAGTTCCATCTGAGGGACTTTACAAGTTTGTTTAAAAGGAAGGTGAGGATGAGGAATGCTGAGCCATATCCAGGGAGTTTCATTGTAGCTGTCTGGAAGTATCCTGACCAGTTTAGGACTCCCTAAATAAATAAATGGACGTTGGTAGGGATGAAGGACGGAAGACATAATGGGTATGAACTGTATGGAAGTACCTGGAGATGGATCTGATGAGATCGGAAAGCATGGACATGACCTGCTTTGTATCAGCCTTCAGTACTTTCCCTAAAGATGAGCAACGTATGACATGGAGTTGAGTTAGATGAAATGATGACAAAGATGAGAATTCATTCATTCAACCTTTATTTAGACAGGTAAATCCCATTGAGCCTCGAGGACTCATTTACAAGAGAGACCTGAAGAATGAAAGGGATAGGAAAGTGGAGAAAGGATGAGTGGGATGTAAATAGGTAAAGATGAAGAATTAGTACAGGAACGAGACAGGGAAAAACACTGAGTGGAAATGAGGAACTTGAGTATAAAACAAACTGAGCTGGAAGGGTGAGAGGACCAGAGGGATTTTTGAGGCGTGGTCTCAAGAGGTGTGTGGTTGGTTTATTTTATTTAACCAGGAAAATCCCATTGAGATCACAGATCTCTTTTGCAGGGAGGCCTGGACCTAAAGGCAGCCTAATATACGTTTCTGGTCTGTGGGGGGAAAGGCAGCCTAACATACGTTTCTGGTCTGTGGTTGGAAACTGGAGTATCTGGAGAAAACCCACACAAGCACAAGAGGAACATGCAAACTCCAACACAAAGACGCCCAGGTCCAACCAGGGACTGAACCCTTCTTTCTGTGAGGCAACAGTGCTAACCATTGAGCCGTCATGCTGCTGGTTAGGCATCACACATTTGTCAGTCTGGATCTGGAAGGTCTTAGACCTGTCATTTTATCCATCAGCATCTCGAGGAGCTTGTGCCTTCTCTGCCAACAGTGAAGTCCTAACCAAGACGAGCTCCTTGTTTCTGTCTGGAAACAAAATTTTAAAAGTACGGTAGATACTTTTAGGAATTAAAATGTTTCTTACTCAACTGCAAAAGTTTTAACAAATTAACAAAAAATACAATTTTATATATTTAAATATGTGCTGAATTTTTAGGCCTTCTCTGAAGGTGTTGAAGGACCTGAGTTCCCCACCGATTCTATGTGATTGTTTTTGTAATCTCATTGAGAATAATGGGCTTCTACCAATTTTGACTCGGTATGTGTAAAACTGACTTGTAATCATTTTTGTGTTGGCTGTGGCAGCCATTTTGACTTGGTCTGGTTCCTAAAGTTAATCATTTGTACGTCCAAGTTTCATTATTGTTTATCCAGTGATACAGGATTGTACTGACATAGATGGGTCAAAACACACATTACACACAAAAAACAGATTGTTTTAATTTTTTTATTGGAAAAAAATGCAGTTTTGGCCCTACATGTTCACAAGCACATCCTCCTAGAAAAGACCCTGTAGCTGCTGCTTGAACAGAGCAGTCCAGACCCTTCTCAGGAAGTACCAGAAAGATGAGCATTAGAAGTTGTGGCAGCAACATTTAATTCAGAAGGAAAAATGACATCTAGGCTCATGTTTTCACATCTACACTGCCCGAGGTCATCCTGAACCGAGCCAGAACCAGACTAAAACCTGTATTCACAACTCTGCTTTAAAGACCGTAAACTGGGAGCGAGCGGTTTTAACCAGTTTCTCAATGCATCTTGATGCAGGTTCAAGCAAAAAATATCAAAAACCTATGATTTATAGTGGAGAAACACAAAAACACCCAATAATGGGGAGTCTCCAGAATGTCTTGAATCATTTGAAGGGGTTCTCAATAAATATTGTGAAGACCGGCCCAAACCTACAGTCCTCATGTCTAACGTGTATTAGAAACATGAATGTGGGTTCTGAGCTGGCCTTGGCAGGACTCTGGTTGCAAACATCCAGAACTCAGTGTTTGAAATAAATGTGGCCATTTTCTCACAATGTAGAAGTGATGTCTCAGGAACCAGGACGGAACATGATCATCCTGTCCATGATGAAGTCTCTCCAGTTTAAACACAGTGGGTCAGACAGCTCACATTAGTTTTAGTTGCCAAACTTTTAATGGAATGAAAACTGTTTTTATTCTGCAAAATATTCTGATTTCATGCTCAGGATTTAGTTTGAGGTGGGATTATAATTGCAACAATCATCATTTGATCACATTCAGACCTCTGAATCCTAATCCAACAGAATCTCAAGGCGTAGAAAGAGTCTCACCCCCAGTGTGCACTGCTAAAAACATTTATTGCATTTTGAACAACTAACGACGAGCTCGCCTTCAGATGTTTAAAACCATCCCAGTCCCTCGTTAACTGGAGCAGAATGAAGATTTACGAATCTACACTTCATAAACGTTCCGGGTCCTAATCTCTGAGGAGGTTCTGACGTGATGAGAGGTTAGTGAGGACAGGTGAGAGCGACACCCGAGACCACATTTTACTACAGACTGAGTGAGGGGGGTGGGGAGTTCTCTGAACAACCTGTTGCATTTCAGAAGATAAAGAGAAAAATTAACTGAAGGTTTCATACAAGATAAAACAAAGAGCTTTGTAAAAATAACAGAACACTGAGTGAAGACGATTAAATTACACATAGGTCGTTACATTTCCTACACAGTATTTACTGCCAAAACACAGTAGAATATGATCGACTGGCAGACTCACTGAACTGCCACCCGCCCCACCCGGGCTGACCATGAGCCCAAGAGTCCTTAGTTACTGAGACTTGATGAGATCCAGGTCTACTGCTGCCCCTCTTTCTTCTCCCCCTCTGATGACGAGCTGCTGCTGCTGTCCCGCTCTGCTGCCATCTGCAGGAACATGGAGGACATCAGCGCTGTGCACGTCACGTTTTCACACAACCAGCCGTGAACAGGCTCCTACCTTCTTGTAGGCCATTTCAAACAGCTTTAGTGACGCCTGCTGCAGGTTGTTGGCGGCCTGTTTGATGTTCTCTCCAGTCTCAGAGTCCTTGTTGGCCAGGAGGCTCTGAACCTTAGAGATCTCCTCCTTCAGCTTGGCACACTGAAACCAGGAAGTGAAGGTTAGAAACACAAGACGCTGATCATCTGAGGGTCCAACCCACAAAGAAGTAAATCAACTGTACGAAGATATATCAGTCTTTAAAGTGGTCACACAATGCACAGCAACACGCATATTTTCAAATATACAAGTAGGAACATTCTGAACATACACATTGCTTAATACATGTGCACAAATCACCTGCTGCGGTCGGATCAGCTTGCATGTGAATGTGACTTTCAGACTTTATTGCTCCAGATTCACAAAGATAATGCTGCGTTCAAGGCTGGTAAAAAGCTGGGACATCTGAGCGTTGGTTACTGAGTTGATGGGAAAAGACTTGTTTCTAACAAGGTACGGCAGCTAGGGATGCACCGATCAACATTTTTTAACTTCCGATCCGATCCCGATACCTAACTCTAAATACCGTCTGATACCGATCCAGTTCAGATAACATGATCATAATTGATTTGTACAATTTGTACAAATATATGCATGCATGTCCAAAAAGGCAACTTGAGGTAAGTTTTATTAATGTTGGATAAGTTTCAAAGTTAGAATTAAATTATTCTAACACAAAACTTTATTTTTTTATTCCTAGCTTTAAAGTGGATATTAAAGTGATTAATTTAAGTGATGGTTTAAAGTTATTTTATATTTTTTAAATAAGGGGCAGATATAAGATTTTTTCTCTCTCTGCACTCTTCCATCCATCCATTTTCTTCCGCTTATCTGGGGTCGGGTCGCGGGGGTAGCAGTTTAAGTAGGGAGGCCAAGACTTCCCTCTCCCCAGCCACTTGGGCCAGCTCCTCCGGGGGGAATCCCGAGGCGTTCCCAGGCCAGCCAAGAGACATGGTCCCTCCAGCGTGTCCTGGGTCTTCCTCTGGGTCTCCTCCCGGTGGGGCGTGTCCGGAACACCTCATCAGGGAAGCGTCCATGAGGCATCCTAACCAGATGCCTGAGCCACCTCAACTGGCTCCTCTCGACGTGGAGAAGCAGCGGCTCTACTCTGAGTCCCTCCCGGATGATCGAGCTTCTCACCCCATCTCTAAGGGAGAGCCCAGACACCCTGCAGAGAAACTCATTTCGGCCGCTTGTATCAGAGATCTCGTTCTTCCGGTCACAACCCAAAGCTCATGACCATAGATGAGGGTAGGAACGTAGATCGATTGGTAAATTGAGAGCTTCGCCTTTTGACTCAGCTCGTCTCTTCACCACGACAGACTTGTACAGTGCCCGCTTCACTGCAGACGCTGCACCTATCTGCCTATCGATCTCATGCTCCATTTTTCCCCTCATTCGTGAACAAGACCCCAAGATACTTGAACTCCTCCACTTAGGGCAGGACCTCCTCCCTGACCCTGAGAGGGCACTCTACTCTTTTCTGGCTCAAGACCATGGCCTCGGATTTGGAGGAACTGATCTTCATCCCGGCCGTGTCTCACTCAGCTGTGAACCGCTCCAGCGAAAGCTGTAGATCACGATCTGATGAAGCCAACAGGACTACATAATCTGCAAAAAGCAGAGATGCAATCCTAAGGTCACCAAAACGGATCCCCTCAACACCTTGGCTGCGCCTAGAAATTCTGTCCATAAAAGTTATGAACAGAATCGGTGACAAAGTGCAACCTTGGCAGAGTCCAACTCTCACTGGGAACAAGCCCGACTAACTGCCAGCAATGCGGACCAGGCTCTGACACCGGTCATACAGGGACCTAACAGCCCGTATCAAAGGGCCTGGTACCCCATACTCCCAGAGTACCCCCCACAGGGTTCCCAGAGGGACGCGGTCAAACGCCTTCTCCAAGTCCACAAAACACATGTTGGGCAAACTCCCACGCACCCTCCAGGACCCTGCTGAGAGTGTAGAGCTGGTCCAGTGTTCCACAACCAGGATGAAAACCGCACTGCTCATCCTGAATCAGAGGTTCGACTATCCGACGGACCCTCCTCTCCAGAACACCCCGAATAGACCTTATCAGGGAGGCTTAAGAGCGTGATTCCCCTGTAGTTGGAACACACTCTAAGGTCCCCCTTTTTGAATAGGGGGACCACCACCCCAGTCTGCCAATCCAAGGGAATTTCCTCCGATGTCCACGCAATATTGCAGAGTCGCGTAAGCCAACACAACCCTACAACATCCAGAGCCTTAAGGAACTCCGGGCTAATCTCATCCACCCCTGGGGCCCTGCCACCGAGGAGCTTTTTAACCACCTTGATGACCTCAGCACCAGAGATTGGAGTGCCCGACCCAGAGTTCCCAGGCTCCGCTTCCTCAGTGAAAGACGTGCCGGTGAGATGGAGGAGGTCTTCAAAGTATTCCACTCACCGACATCCCGAGTTGAGGTCAGCAGCACACCACCCCCACTATAAACAGTGTTGGTGGTGTACCGCTTTCCCCCCTTGAGACACTGGATGGTGGACCAGAATCACCTCGAAGCTGTGCGGACGTCATTCTCCATGGCCTCTCGAAACTCCTCCCATGCTCGAGTTTTTGCCTCAGCGACCACCTGAGTCACATGTTGCTTGGACTGCCGGTACCCATCAGCTGCTTCCGGGGTCCCACAAGCCAAAAAGGCCTGATAGGACTCCTCCTTCAGCCTGACAGCATCCCTGAGAGACGGTGTCCACCACCGAGTTCGAGGGTTGCCGCCGCGACAGGCACCGACAACCTTGCGGCTGCAGCTCTGGTAAGCCGCCTCGACAATAAAGGCATAGAACATGGCCCACTCGGACTCAATGTCCCCTACCTCCCTCGGAACATGTTCAAAGTTCTACCGGAGGTGGGAGTTAAAGCTCTGTCTCACAGGAGACTCTGCCAGATGTTCCCAGCAAACCCTCAATACGTTTGGGCCTCCCAGGTCAGACCGGCATCCTCCCCCACCAGGTAGTGATCAGTGGACAGCTCCACCCCTCTCTTCACTCGGGTGTCCAAGACATGTGGCCGTAGATCAGATGAGATGACGACAAAGTTGATCATCAAACTGCGGCCTAAGGTGTCCTGGTACCAAGAGCACAAATGGACACCCTTATGCTTGAACATGGTTTGTTATGGACAATCCATGATGAGCACAGAAGTCCAACAACAGAACACTACTTGGGTTCAGATCAGGGGGGCCATTCCTCCCAACCAAACCCATCCAGGTCTCACTGTCATTGCCCACATGAGCATTGAAGTCCCCCAGCAGAACAAGGGAGTCCCCAGGAGGTGCACTTTCCAGTACCCCCTCCAAGAACTCCAAAAATGGCAGATATTCTGAGCTGCTGTTTGGTGCATAAGCACAAATGACAGTCAGAACCCGTCCCCCCACACATAGGCAGAGGTTGGCTACCCTCTCATTCACTGGGGTGAACCCCAACACACAGGCACCAAGACGGGGGGCAATAAGTATGCCCACTCCTGCTCGGCGCCTCTCACCAGGTGCAACTCTAGAGTGGAAGCATGTCCAACCCCTCTCAAGGAAACTGGTTCCAGAACCAGAGCTATGCGTAGAGGTGAGTTCGACTTATTTCTAGCCGGAACCTCTCAACCCCTCACACCAGCTCAGGCTCCTTCCCCACCAGTGAGGTGACATTCCACGTCCCAATAGTCAGCTTCTGTAGCCAAGGATCAGACTGCCAGGGTCCTCGACCTCGGCCACCACCCATCCCACATTGCTTGGGGAAGCCCATGATGCGGCAACACATATTGCTTCTATCGGAACCCCTCTCAGGGCAGCCCAGGAAGCAAACACGCTCCTGGTAGAATGTGCCCTCACGCTGCCCGACAGGGGGCCGTGCCCTGCGGCGTAGGCATGGCAGATGACATCCACGATGCAGTGGGAGAGGTGCTTTTTAGAAAGAGGATAGCCTAATGTAGAGCCTCTGTAACACAAACAGCTGGTCTGTACATCATATAACGGCAGGAACTGCAACATATGTGCTCTCACTAAGCACAATAATCCAGACCCCTCGCCAGGTGTAGGCTGAAAACGTGCCAGCCTCAACAGTTGGTTACAGTGAGATAACACCTTTGGTACAAATACAGTGTTTGGCCACAAGGTAACATCACAGCCCTCAGGGCACCACCCGAGACACGAGGAGCTGAGAGAGAGCATGTAGCTTGCAGACCCTCTTGCTGAGGCCATAGCCCTGTAGTGAACTCGGCCTCCGGTCAAGACCTGCCCCTGAAGACCTTCATGGGACAGGAACTGTTATTTCATTGATTTGAATCCAGAAATACAAATTAGCTCATCCAGAGACTTTCTAATTGTATCCTGAACTAATCAATTAAAAGAACACTCTTTTTTTATTATCATTACTATTTTACAATGTCTTGATAATCAAAAGTGTGTTTAGTTCAAATCATTTTTAAATGTTGAAGTGAACCACTCATTTTAAATCAACTGTGAAACAGTATTAATGATTTTTAATCCTCATTCAAAGTAGAAATCAAGTTAAATGTCTATGTTACAAAGTAATTATGCATTTTGATCTTCTGTCTGAAATGAGAAAGGAGTGATGTCGGTCAAAAGTCGGAGACAGTCGCAAACAAGTTTATTAGAACGAACTGTCATGTTTTTAAACCTCTCAGACAGAAACAAGAAAACTGGCACCTGTAAGTCTGTCATTTCTCCAAAACATTTCTCTGTCTGTTCCTAAACATCTCCGCTGTTTTTCTGACTTGTAATGACCCTCTGACGTCACTAAAACCACACCCCTGTTGGTTCTTTCAACCAATCAGGACTTCCTAAAAAGTGACCGGAAGCAGAACTCTTTAAAAGTCGACACTTCCTAGTTCCAGTTAGTTCTGGGAGAGAACAGAAGTTCCATGGAGAACAGAAGTTCCAAGAGAACAGAAGTTCCAGGAGAACAGAGAGTTCTGCTGGAGAAGGAGACGAGTGTGACTTTACAACTGAAGTCCACGGTGGTCATTTTCTGAAAGATGACACCTGTCTGGAGCGTTGATTCAGGTCATCACGCCAAAGACCTATTCAACATCTCAGGAGTTCAGCACGTTTGCT